GGCCTACAAACTACTAGCAATGGCCTCCAACCTGCTAGCGATGGCCTCGAACCTGCTAGCGATGGCCTGCAACCTGCTACCGATGGCCTCCAACCTACTGGCAATGGCCTCCAACCTGCTAGCAATGGCCTCCAACCTACTAGCGATGGCCTCCAACCTACTGGCAATGGCCTCCAACCTAGAAGCAATGGCCTCCAACCTAGAAGCGATGGCCTCCAACCTAGAAGCGATGGCCTCCAACCTAAGAGCGATGGCCTCCAACCTAAGAGCCGTGGCCTCCATCTTGACTTGCTTTGGTGCATGTGAATCGTGTGAATAATGTGAACATTCAGCATTAAAACAAAACACAACAACTGCAAGAACGCTACTAGGAGCAAGTGCATCGCTTCTAGTAACAAGTGCCTTACTAGTAGTAACAAGTGCATCGCTACTAGGAGCAAGAACGCTACTAGGGGCTCATTGCTTTACTGCAAGAACTCCGCATCACTCCGCCTTCGGTTGTGGTGCTTGCCCATGGAATTCTCCAGCGAAATCCCAAAGCCCCGGACTGCCCCCGCTCCACGGCGCAACCTCACCCGATGCTCCATACAACCTAATAGCAATGGCCTCCAACCTAGTAGCAAAAGGAATCTAATAGCAACGGCCTGGAACCTACTAGTGATGGCCTCCAACCTACTAGCAATGGCCTCACACAATGCTCCATACATCAGAGCTAAAAAAGCAAAGCTACATTTGCAAAGCAAAGCTCTGCATACTGCTTTGATCTGCACTTGTTTTATTATTTTTACCAAAGCGCACTTTTCATGTCTGTTTATCCGATATGTTGGAACCGCAAGAGTGCAAGAAAGAGTTCTGATACGGAAGCAGCTTGCCAACTGCCGGAAGCAGTTTGCTCTATCAGAAATAGTTATTTTTCCACCTGCAGAACACTATCCCAAAATTTGGGCAGCAGGCAATAGACAAAGCGCCCCGAACCATATCGGCATCATTCACCTGACAGAATTCATGCAGAGATAAGTGGTGATTTGACTGCGCGGCTTGACAACTTTGCCTTGGGCTCATCCTTGGGATCTTTCAAAACAGGGCTCATGTTGAACTCGAACAGCCACACATCTGCGCAAGCCGAGCGTGTGAGCGAAGCGGAAAGAGAACACGTGTGAGGTTTAGTATTTAGTAGTAAGGCCAGGAGCCCCTAGTAGCGTCCTTGCTCCGTTCGTAGCGATGCCCTTAGCTCCTAGTAGCGTCCTTGCTCCTGAATTGGAATGCGAACTTGAAGATTGGTGCCAACCCAGCACTACCACTTTTAAAGTGACCAATATGTTGGCGGATTCACGCTTATCATGTCAATCTGGCCTCCAGTTCAAAATGGTTCAACTGTTCCGCTTTCTGTTGACTTTGATAGTTTGATTATCAAATCCTTGGATGAATATCCCTCTATATACATTGGTAGCGAAAAAACTTATGTATCTTCAATGTGCTCGAGCTGCGCTGCTCTTATCTCCTGAAACTTGCCTCCTGGCATGGCACCCTCGTTGCTAAAATCAAGTTTTTATTGCAAATCCGGTTCACTTGCTGGTGTGGCCAGCATAACCAGTATGGAACAGTATGGTGGTTTTTGTTTGAAAGCCTGGATCAAAATAATTGTGGCATATTGTGGCAATAAAGATCTTTTTCATCCTGAACACAAAAGGGTTCAAGTGGACCATACTGCATGTGGAAGAACAAAATCCTTCATCCTGCCTGACAAACATGTTGGTAAACAATCTTATTGAAAGGTTCACCTTTTGCACCATTGTTCAGTCTGCATTGCCTGCTAAAACCGCAAGGT